TTTTGCTCGGACGCGCTCGTTTCACCGCCCAACTTTTATCCGCCCGGGTTTCGGCTCTCACTTCTATCGGCGTCACAAGCCAGTTATTAGCATATTCCGGATATTTCTTCGGAAAGTAATCACGAGTTCTTTTTGATACAAATTTATATCTTTTGCTAGTTGTGCACGTGCATATGAAATTTGAAAACAATGCCAGTGAATACAGAGGACGCTCACTTATAAACACAAAATCTGGGAAAAATGGTTATATTGGAGGCCCTGTTTAAAAGCCTTCCCTGTTTTCAGTGTTCTTGAAAGCTTATCAGTTTCTTAAAATATTAGCGAATTGTGGGGATGGCATGCTATTTCACTGTTTTTATGATTGTTAAAACCGCGTGTCAAAATATTTCGAAAACGCTCTCATAGAATTTGTTTAAACTTTGCCATAATTGAGACAATTATGGCAGGTACATACTCCCTTAAGCGATTTCTTCAAAAAACTTCTGGTATAGAGAAACACAAAGATAAATAAAAAGCGTAATGGCGTCATTATGTTGCCATGGCGACTCCGATTGCATTAAAACCCAGATCATAACAAATTTTCATCTTAATATAATACAGTTGTGGTAACCTTTTTTCCATATCTTTACTCATGCCGACGTAGTTAATGCTCAAACGTTGGAGGTATCCCCCCCAAAAAAAAATCCAGTCGAGCCACCTCAAAGCAATTAAAATTTACTTGTCTTGAAATATTTCTTAGCTTATTTAGGCTCTAGTTTAAAGACTACCACTATTTTGCTTCCAGTAATCAGTGCAACGGACCTGACCTCTTAGAAAACACGATAGTCAAAGAGAGGTCAGTGTATGTGCGGTGATTGGTGGATTTCGATTTCCCGGCCTTTGTCAGTTTCTTTGCGTTTGCGGTCTGTCTCTTCTAGGTGTTATTTTGACTAAAAGCAATGAAAAACGCAATCGTAAACGGCAGGAAAAGGGAAGCAAATACAATAGAACTCAACAGAAAAGAATCAAGAACAGGTAGATTTTGTCCATAAACCAAATCCACATTTAAATTATTGAATCGAGGTCCAATTTGACTGTTGGATTATTTATTTTATGAATAGATTATTGAATCAACAAACGAAATCATTTTTCCATTAATGAATTCATTAGTTTGCCAGCGACGGGAACGCTTGACCTGTTTTGACTGTAAATTGCGTCAGACAAATAATTGGTCTTCAGTAAATGTGAAACTTGGCGTGATTTGATCTGATTAAAACTGATTCTGGGAAGGTTCGATATCGATTTTGAGTATTAGCGACCACAGGCCTTATATTAATTAACGGGGGTGTGTTCGAGCAACTCGCTCGCTACACGATGAGGTACCAGGAATCTGATTTACATCTTGGCCTTTATTCTTCTTTGACTTCTGCTAACAATCTTAATCTTCCTACTCTTCTAACTCTTTTCTACTTTTCTACTNGGCCTTTGTCAGTTTCTTTGCGTTTGCGGTCTGTCTCTTCTAGGTGTTATTTTGACTAAAAGCAATGAAAAACGCAATCGTAAACGGCAGGAAAAGGGAAGCAAATACAATAGAACTCAACAGAAAAGAATCAAGAACAGGTAGATTTTGTCCATAAACCAAATCCACATTTAAATTATTGAATCGAGGTCCAATTTGACTGTTGGATTATTTATTTTATGAATAGATTATTGAATCAACAAACGAAATCATTTTTCCATTAATGAATTCATTAGTTTGCCAGCGACGGGAACGCTTGACCTGTTTTGACTGTAAATTGCGTCAGACAAATAATTGGTCTTCAGTAAATGTGAAACTTGGCGTGATTTGATCTGATTAAAACTGATTCTGGGAAGGTTCGATATCGATTTTGAGTATTAGCGACCACAGGCCTTATATTAATTAACGGGGGTGTGTTCGAGCAACTCGCTCGCTACACGATGAGGTACCAGGAATCTGATTTACATCTTGGCCTTTATTCTTCTTTGACTTCTGCTAACAATCTTAATCTTCCTACTCTTCTAACTCTTTTCTACTTTTCTACTCTTCTCTCTACTTTTTTTTTAGTTCAGGTATAGTAGCGGTTTTTATAGCCAAAGCTGGACATGTTTGGGTTAGCTGACCGGAAGAGTTTCTATTGTATATCTTATCGCTAACATTGCAATAGGTTTGCTATTGTTAGGCATAGATTAGTCTACGTACAGCGCCTACAGCGCCTACATCGATACAGCGTACGTACCAAAGAACCAAGGTCAGCTTAAACACCACAAACACGACTACCTGTAAAAAACTAACATCTGACAATGCCAAGCGAATAATATTCTTAATATGGCTTTAAGCAAATCGCGAGCTAAGCATAAATTCAAGTACAAGTGAAAACAAAAGATCAAAACAGGAAAACAGTACGTAGACAAAAACAAGACTTAATGAAACAAAATCTAATTAAACTTAAAAGATAAGATAGATCTGTCTTAAAAATAACTTTCAAAATACTTCACAACA